AGAGGGCTTTTTTGTACCACGCTGGTCCAACTCCTCCCGCTATGCTATCCATGAATGCCAAACCCTTTGGCACACAAGACATAAATTCTTTGGGATTGAACTTGAAGGTTTCATGAGAGGACAGTTTGACCAACTTCATTAATATCAAAATGCATTTCCTTTCCTTCAGCTGACAGGACTTCCCACTGCAGCACTGACAAGGGTGTACTAGATAGGAGGGCGCACCAGCTAACATGTATTTCCCATGCTGAAACACCTATCGCTAAGGCTTTCTCTGAATATTACACAAAGGCTGATTACAAGGAAGTTGGGAACCTTGAGTCTAAAGTTGCTTTTAAGCTTATACGTTTAATCTTTTTAAGTGACATTCAGGCTTTCCCTGCAATTCTTGGAATATTCAGTACTTTGGTCAAATCAGACTTGTAGCTCAGTGTATTTCTAGTATCCACAGATGGGAAAAATACTGATTGCAAGCTGTTAAGAGCTGTCCTCACTGGAAGGCTAGTTGTTGGGTTGTTTCACATGGTAAAGGCAAAACCTTTTCTTTTCATGACGATGAGTTTCAGGTACATAAAGCAAGTCTTGTTCTACAGCAGGTCCTGATGGAGCTAGGAAATAAATGGCAGCAGGCATAGAGGGAAGGTATATGGGAAAACCTATTTCACCTACTAGCTGGAGAGGATATGAGCATGGGGTTTGGTAGCTCTTCAAAAACTTGTATATCCAGGCAATCTGGATATACAAATATAGAGAGAAATATGTAGCTGTACACAATATTTACAAATCTAGATATTTATCTGTAGATAAGTGTTTAGTCCTCTTTCAGCTCATAGTTCTTGCCTTTCAGTGTTGACAAAGCCTCTTGTTTTAGGGAAGTATCAGTCTCAACTCAGCTGTTTAATTTTGAACTTGTCTTGTTCTTGCGGTGTTTAAAAAAAATCCATTTGACACTCCCAACCTATCCTTTCTGTACCACTCATTATTTACAAGTGCCTGTCCTGGTTCCTCTTTTTTTGTCTCCTGTGAACTCAACAGCTCCAAGATTTTCACTCTTTCTGTGGAGGGAAGATTTTCTCCCTCTTTCTCGATTGCAAGCTGCTAGCTAATCAGACACCAGGCTAGAGAGAGGAGAAGAAACGGGGACTCTCTCCTTGTAGGCAATGACTAAAACAGATTGTTGTTCCTAGTGGTGACAGAAATAGGCAATCAGGTTCTCAGTTTAGCCACCCTGTACATTTTGGTCAGAAAAGGAAAAATTTGTTAAAAGGTGCTAAACTTAATGTGTTCATATGAGAAGTTTCTTACCGTTTTCCCTATGGTAAGGACTCTTTACCATTCTTTTTTCCCCAAAAAACCTACAGGGTGCTGTGACTTTACTATAGTTTGAGTTAACTTCAGGTGTATTCATGGAGCTGGTGAGGTCTGGATCATTGTGCAGAAGACTACTCTTTAGCCCAGACAAGACTACATAAAAAGCATCCTTCGACAGTTGTCTACCACTTCCAGGAGCTCTCCCTTCTTTTCCCATTAATTCATTTGCATTCACTGCTGCTCCTGTATGCCAATTAGCTTTAATTTTTACTATACACACTGACATCAATGGCCAATGAGAACAGCACGTAGCGGGATTTTTAGTGTGCCTATAAACTACAGAAAATTGTCCTTGGACAAACTCCTGCTTTTAGACTGGCTGACAACAATAGACATGGTTAAGTTCAGGCTAAGAGCCATTAAACATAATTACTACCACAGGCTAGAAGTTTAATTGTGCTAAATTTTAAATCTGCATAGTCTATGCTTATTTACAAGCTGGCTAGGTCTTCCTGTTACATAAGGGGGAATAAATCTGTACTTAAAAATTGTTGCCTTTTAACTTCAAAGGGAGATGAAAAAAACCCGGGGTTTTTAGAAGCAGCAAAACAACTCCAAACTGAAACCTTTCTGTATTTCCAGCTTCTTTTATGCAAATGGCTCCAAGCTGGTAAGTAGATGCTGAGCATCTTCTGATAGATTTTTTTTTTTTTTCCCTAATGTGCTTCAACTTTGTGTGCGTGAATGTGCGCGAGAGTATTGCATCTGTTATGAAGGTGTCTGGGGGACAGAATGCAGATCAGTTTGTTCATGTGGGGTTATTTTAAGTTTAACCGCAGATGGGGCTTGGGGTGGAAGATTTTCCTCTTGCTCCTTGTCTTCTCTCCCTCCTCTAATAATGTTAAGCTCCCCACCTCAGAAAGTTTCAGCTCAAGTAGCTTCTGGGTAAGTAGGTATCAGACGTGGCAGGTTTTTTACAAGCAAACAAAAAAGGCAAAAGTCTGTGTTCATTTTGTTTTTTCTTCCAGCAGAATGAAAAAAAAAATTCATGTTCACTGAGCTACAAGTTACGGTGTATATTTAGAAGCATGGTGAATATACAAGGGCTCTAAGTCACTCCCTGAAAAGCAGATTAAAATTAAGAAGTGCTAGAATACGTGTGAAATGGTCATCTGTTGGGAAAGGGAGGGTATGGAGGACTGTGAAACTTGATAGAAGAGAAAAAGATTAGCACACTGACTAGCTGGAAGCTACATTTATGTAGACATTAGAAGGCAACACGATTTCAGCTGGACAGAACATAAGCTTCAGATCTTATGCAAACAGTCAAAGCTGTTTAACAATTGGTTTACCCCCAAACCCCTGAAAGGAGACAGGTGAATACGATGCCAAATACATTTTTCATGTTTCTTAAGCTAACTGTTTAAATAGTTAAGTGAACATCTGTCCAAATTTCCCCATCATTTCCATTTAGAAAAGTCTCCTATTTGAAGGCTGAAGAAAAGCGCCTGCTTAACAATGCAAATGGTGCTGTCTGGGGCCCCTTTATTTTGTTTAATCTAGACTGAGCTCCACACAACTGTGATGCTAATGAATAATGGATATTTTATACTTGTGCATGTAGCAGTGCTGGGCACAGAGCAAATCTAGGATTAACCTCCCACTTTCCCTGCCTAACACGTATTGGACTTATTTTTTGAGTTTGCTGTGACTTGGGTACTCTAAAAACAGATGCCTGGTTTTATGGAAAATGGGAAAACTCTGGCAAAAGCTGTCAGGTTTTGCTATGCCCAAGTGAGGTAGCGAAGAAGGGGGCAGCTACGTTGGGGGAGGGAGGGATGTCTGTATTAATGGCTTGATTTGCGAGCGGGTGCTGAATGAGAGCCAGGGCGTTTCAGGGTGGAGACCTGTACGCTTTTCAGTGCCACATTTTTTCAGTCCGGTCTGCTGGCGTTAGGCAGCCAGGCACTGCGCTCAGCTGCCTCCCCTGCCTGCCTGCCTGCCTGCGGGAGCAGGAGCAGGAGCAGGAGCAGGAGCAGGAGCAAGCTGGAGTCAGCTTGCAGGGAGAATGGGACTGCCCCGGTACCGATTACATGGTCTGAGTTTGCCAGCGCAGACTATGTAGCTGGGATTTTACTCTGCCTTTCAGCCCTCGTATGATGGGTTCATACGGGAAGAGATTTTGGTACTCCCTTTGGGCTTTTTCTGTCCTGCAGAAGTGTTTCCATTTGGTTTGCGTAGTTTAACTTTCAGGGAAAATGCGGTACTGTTTCTTCATGGGAAGTCTTGGGGTTTTCCAGCCAGGCCTAATGAAAGACCACTGATGCCACTTCTAGTGAGAAATAAGGGTAGCCTTTTTTTTACAGCTGAAGAGCAAGCTGACTTTGGTAGCACAGCGCTGTGGGAGGGTGGGAGAGTTGTGTGGAGGTTTCTATAACATTGCTGGGTGTTTTAATTCACAATTACTGGCCAGTAATAATTAGTATTGATTAGCTTGGCAAATTGCAGGTTTAGAAATTGGTTATAGATTTTCCTGATGCTTCTCGTCTGCGTGTTGTGGAATCAGCCAGAGCCAATGGCTCGAAACAAACCGCAAGCCCAAATCTGTCTGCGGGCAGCGACGCGTTGCACGCGCAGAGCTAATGGTCAGCAGGAACCGTACGTCTCGAGGCTCGCCGCCCCAAGAATATGATTTTTATCATCTCCTAAGCAAAGTAACTAACCACACGCGTATTGACCGGGTGCAGTTTGGTTTTGTCGGCCTGTTGATACGTGCCCCGGCTGGTTCGCGTGGCTTTGTGGTCGCGGTGGCGTGCCGCCCCCGGCGGGCGCAGGGGGCTGCGGGGACACCTCGGCGAAGGGGGCCGGGGCGAGGATGCCGCGGTCTTGCTTGAGTCCCCCGGCGAGAGCTGTAACAGCAGCAGACATCTGGGGAGACAGATAGTGAAAGCCGAGATGAAAATGGCAAAGCTTCCAGTGCTGAAGGGCTGTCCTGGAGGACCGAGGAGCTGAAGTGGAACGGCTGAGCGTGCTGTTCGGGCCGCAGTGGAAGGGCTTAGCTGGCTCCCGGGAGGGACGAGGAGGCGGGAGGCGGGGGGCACAGCCAGGGAGGAGGGCTTGCTCTCCGCGATGCCTTGCAAAATGCTGTTGCGCTCATCGCGAGAGAAATGGCGCTTTTCCGTTTTGAACAGCAGGTAAGTGAGGTTCTTCCTGAGCTATATTATAGCGTTGCCTGCCAGGGTTGGCAAAGTTTGCAGGTCTTCTGTGTCTTGCTGCGAGAGGCTGCCAGCCTGTCCTTCTGTTCGGTTGCGGCCAAGCGCAGATGGGGCAACCGCGGGCGGAGGAGGGCGGGCGGCTCCGAGCACCTACCCCACCGCTGCAGAGAGGCAGATAGTTTTTGACTGAAATTTTGTGAGCCCCAAAATAGTGCTCTAAGTGTTTAATGCTTTTCTCCATTAGACAGCAAATTAGCCCTAGGCTTACAAACCAAATGAAGTTTCATCTCGACAATCGGAGCCTGCTCACCAGGCAGTTTTATCCCAAGTTCCCGCACACTGGTTGGTCAGCGAAATGGAGACTGCAACTTCTATTTATTGGTGCAATACAGTATTTGATACTGCTAATTACACTTAATTAGTCCTTCCACCATTTAATTAAAATGGCTTCTAATGATTGTGCTTCTTTGGCAGGCTCTTTGGTACCACCGGGAATTGTGCTGCCTGCAGTAAACTGATCCCTGCCTTTGAGATGGTGATGAGGGCCAGAGATAATGTTTACCATTTGGACTGCTTTGCCTGTCAGCTCTGCAACCAGCGGTGAGGACACAGTTATTATACACACAAACACAAACTAATTTATACCTTTGCCCGCAAAATAGGGGAAATGTTTGATCCACGCTACCTGTCTGGGGCTCACAGCCTGCTGGCTCGGGCGGGTTTATTAGGCTGACCTGGGTGATGCATGTAAGTACCTGTAGCCCCTTTACCGCAAATCCCCTTAGAGCTGGTGGGAGTTGGAAGGGCGAGGGGAGCACGCAGACTGCAGATCTGGCCACGGTTGTATGCAGCACAGCTGCTGCTGAATAAAACAAACTGCTTCAGTGTCCTTTCAGGATCTACCCTTTTTGCAGAACACAGACGACAGAGAATGGACCTCCTCTGGCAAACTGATGTTATTTTGCTTAAAGCAGGTTTCTGACAGGCTCAAAACTGAGGACGGCAAAGCAGAAAGAGAAAGAGAAGGGACAGGAAGGAGAAAAAAAACTCTAGATAAGGTCTTTCCAACACTAGGAAGAAATCCCTTTAGTAGTTGTGTAATTAATAGGGGATCTTGGTGGTGTAATTTTGAGCGGGGCTTGTGTATTTCTGCTGGGTTTTACCCAGTGGAAAATGCACATCAAGGAGTATGATAAAGGGTCATGCACAAAGTTTTCACTTGGGCTACCTGTAGGCAGCTGAATTTGGGAGGGCTGTGAAAAATCTTCCCAGCGCCCTGTTTGTTGGTCATTGTAGGCGGAATGGAAGCCCCCAGAACCAGATGTGTCATAGTGTCGCTTTCTGATGCATCCATCCATCCACCCTTGTCCAAGACAGGCCAGACAGTGCTTGTCGTTCCTACTGCTTGTTCAGCTGGGCTGCAGTGACTGCCCAGGGCCCAAGGGCTGTGCTGGGGTTCCTCTTCTGGACTTGTGGTTGTGATTCCCAGAGATGAAACTAGGAGGCAATGCTTCATCCCATGTGAAGGTGTGAGAGAGATGACAAAACTCGCGGGAAGATGGAGAGCCTAATTCTGTAAAAGTCAAGCTAAAAGCCTGACTTAAAAATTCATTGCTCGCCCTACCACAAAAGTCACCGTGGGATCTCTACTAGTGAAGCAGCTGTACACGGTGCAAACCTCTGCCACCTTTCCCACTAAACTTCAGCGACCGTGCAAACTGGGGTCCGATTCTCCTTCCGTGCCCTCTGCCAGGGGCTCAGTTCACAGGGATGTGAATGGGGTGGCGGCTGGTTGGTGCCAGAGCACTTAGGAGAATCGGGCGAGCCGTTTGTAGCTCAGGTGGCTTTACTCAGCCCTGTTATTGGAGGCGGAGGCGGTGGTTGTTGGAGGTAGAAAGCTCCTATTAATATTGGCGTTGTCCCCAGGCGCGGTGGCAGCGCCGAGGCGGCAGTGACATCTAGTGGCTCCTGGCCCGGGGCTCCTCTCGGGAAGCCCAGTTACATCTTTCAGTTGCCCAGTCTTGTTTTGGCACTCTCGAACACGCTCCCGCAACAGTCGCGATTCCCGATGGGCAGCGTGCGACCACTTGCAGAGCTCATACATGCCCTCCCCGAGATGGTCTCTCTTCACGCAGCTGAAATTGCTGGTGGGCCGTCGGGTTTGTCCCAGACTCCACGCTGATACCGGGGCTAGAGCATCTCAAACGTCCCTTCTGGCAGAGGCAAGTCACAGCTCTGGGCTGCGCAGGCAGGAGTGCTGGGGAGGCCTTGGAGTCTGTAGGATGAGCATTTGTCATCAAACCCCTACTTTACCCTAGCTTCTCTCATGGAAAAGCCTAGTGCCGCCTAGTTTTCATTTTCAGGAATTTCTTTTCAATTTCACCCTTTGTTACAAAGGCTCCGAAGCACCTCTCTTCCCTCTGCGATTACTAACGCTATTACTGCACTCAGTGCAAAGTATGGTCCTGCTCTGCCCTTAAAATAACCTCCATGCACTGTCACTGCCTGGCAGGAAAGCGCAGGTAATTCCCCGTTCTGGCAGAGTCGTGCTTTGATGCATGAGGGATTTGCCCAGGTTGGGGGGAGCTGAATGTTTCTGAAAGATGGGCTGAGCAGACGGCATAGAGCTACGTGTAGATTGTTATTTTTGGCTGAGATCAGAAGACTACAACCTTTTATGACTTATCCTTTAAAGATTTTGGCCAGAAAGGGCAGATCAGAAGTGCTCCTGTAGCAGATGACATTGGAAGCTGAACCAAGAACAGTGAGTTTAAATAACCGTAAAGTCAAAATTGCAGAGGTGGATGCCAAAACTAGTTCTGAATCGGAAACCCCACCTGAAACCCCACCTCATTGTCCGGCTATGAAAAGATTTGATTAGAAAGACCTTTCTCTAGTTCTCTTCCAGCTTACTTGCCCTTCTATAGCTAAACTGTGTCTGTGTAGAGTGTTAAATCCATCAGAACAAAATCTCTAATATTTTTGCCAAATGTGCAGTTTTCATTAGCTTCATGCTGCAAATCTGGTGTTTTGGAGAAAGTCTTACGCACTACTCAGCCTACTATTCTTTAATAAGGCCAACATTGCTTCTCACAATAGTGAATAAAAGTTGGTCACTGCTGTAACTGGCTATCAGTATTACAAGGGTTTCAGGAAATCCAGCTGCTTGGGTTGCGATTATCTAACGTGGTTTTGCTCGGAAGAAAATCACTCTGTAGAAATGGCAGGGTAGGTTCGGTGCCTGTTTCTCGCTGCTGCTGGCTGGAACTCAGTCAGACAGACAGGCTCTGGACAGAACTGCTCCGAGCAGGAGGGATGGTGGTGCAGGGCCACGTCTCGCTCTGAAGAGAGCTGCAGGCTGGGACACGTGAAACTGGGTCTGAAGTTGCTCTGATAAATCCCCTGTCCCTAGTTGCGGTGCATCAGCTGAAGAGATCCCAGTTTACTGCTCAGTTTGCAGGGCTGGTAGGGAGAAAGAAAGAGTCGCTTTTCCAGTGAATCAAGCCCTTCTCCCAAAACTTCACAAGGTCTCGGGGTACCCCTGCTGTGCATTTTAGGTCCTATGTGCTCATATGGCCCACCCACCCCCCAGCTCCCTAGTTCTCCCACTCCTCCTTTGGCTCCTCTAGACCCAAACCAGGTTTGGCAAGAGAACGCTGTCGATGGTGCTGGTGACAAAAGTAATTTTTGCATTTCTCTTCTTGGAGATTTATATTGTACTTCAGGTAGGGGTAAGTAGCAAAAAGCAAGCAGCTGTGACTGTTATTTATAGTGAGTAAACCTAGTGGTGGGGAAGGTGGTGTTAAGGCGAGTGTGTGCAGTACAGTTTTTAGCATAAGAGCTGCTAATTTAAATTGAGATTAATTTTTAGCTTTTTAATATACAAAAAAGGTTGAATTTCAGAACTACTAAAGCATGTGCCACAGAGGGAAGAAGATGGAAGGTCTCCAGTGAAATCATATGAAGCGAGAACCAATACCCAGTTCTCCCTGTATCGATTTGGCAAATTAATCAGCTTATTTGCAGGTGTCCAGTTGGAGAAAACTTGTGCCCATGTCAGACCTATAAAGGAGCTCTGAAATGATCAGTCCTGTTCTTGTAGCAGAATATATTCAGTTTTTGTTGGAGATGCTCTGCCCAAAGCTGCCTGAGTTACAAATCTAGAAAGCATTTTAGACAAGGAGTAGGCAATGTCCCTGCCAAAGCTCTGCCTGGGAGCAGAGAAAATGGGTATCTGAGGTCTGCTGAGTCTCCTGAGGATGGGATCATCTCTACTGATCTTCCTTCAAAGCCCAGTAACTATTCGGCCTCGCCAGAGGCTGGTACCTGCCCGTTCCTCTCGGTTCAGAGCTGCGTTTTGGCGCAGTGGCCAGGGTGCCTCTGCTTTAGGGACCTGGGACTGATTTAAGACTCAGCACTTGGGGCAGGGAGGCGCAGCCCCGTGCTCTGGTCTGTCATTGCCCTGCTAGCACGACGGACAAAAACCAGCCCCTGAATTGGGTGCAAAGAACATTATTTGTTATCTTAAGAAGTAAAGATTAGCTTCTGATTCTTGAGCAAGCAGGCAGGGCAAAAAAGCTATTGGCTGTCAATTCACACCTCTCAGATCTTATATATGGAACTTTTTTGACCTTAATGGTCAAATAAAATTGTTAAATATCACAAGCCTCTCTGTCAACTTCAAGACAAACAGAACAATTTACATGGTATATAGAGAGCAGTGCCCTTCGCTCAATGAAGATAAAGGTTAGGAGTCCAGCCACCAGGAAATTTCTATTTATTGTTCAGCACTGTACACAAGGGGGTGAGGAAAGACTTAATAGCCAGTCCTTGCCTGGAAATTAGTGTAAATACTGCCTCACCCGAGGGAACCGTGGAAATGTGGATACCAGCAAAAACTTCAAATAGTCTCTGTGTAATATCTCCTGCTTGATTTCCTGCTTGTAGAGCCGACAGCTCTCGTCTGCAGGGACAAATCCCTTAACTGCTCCCGGCCTCCTCCTGCCGCCGGTGCGGGACCCGGCAGAGACCGGGACCCGCTCCCCGAGCTGCTTCCTACAACCGTGGCCTGGGAGCTGGACACCGCTGTGCCAGGAAAAGGGACGGCAAAACCCCGGGATGTGTGCAGGGAAGGGGAGCGGGGGGAGAGGCACGGGGCCTTTCCTGGGGTCCGACACCACCAGCAGAGCTGGAAACCAAACTCTGGTCCCCAGAGTCACCTTCAGACCCAAACAGCCTCGAATTCCCCCTGTCCTAACCTCTGTTCACACTTACACCCGTTAATTCTTTTTATCTTCCAGATTCTGTGTGGGAGACAAATTTTTCCTGAAGAACAACATGATCTTGTGTCAGATGGACTATGAGGAAGGGCAGCTGAACGGGAGCTTCGAGTCCCAGGTTCAATAACAAACCCTGCTTCGCTGAAGCACTGTGGGATGGGTGCTCGGCCGCGCGAGCAGCGAGGGCGCCTGTCAGCTTGCCTGCAATATTTTTTTAATTCTTGGTCCAGAGAGGACTATATACATTGTAGTACTTTTCCCCCCCAACACAAAGCAGTTACAATTTTAGATGTACAGTTGTGCCTGCTTAGCTGAGCACTGCATTGCCTGTATGTTTGTGAGTTTTTGGGGTCTGGGGGAGGGCTCTGTACAGTCTGTTTCCTGTATATAAACTGGAACATTTATTTTATGAAAAATGTAATGCAATTTTATTACTGGTGTGAATTAAAAATTATGAATGTTTCCTGGTCATCTTAGCTGTGGTTTGTTCCCCATGTGGTGAAGGCCTGTATTTCCTGTGCTTGATGTTGAACAGACTATTAGAAATGTATACACAGATCCCTGGAAACTGCAGGAATAAAAGCAGAGGCGGGAGTTCACACACACAAACCAGGGGAAGAAATGCTGCTGCAGAGTTAGACCTCTCCGCTTGAACCGTGCAGAGACTCGTGTCCAAAACCCTGCCGCGGTGTACGACGGGAGGGAACGAGCCGTGGGCGGGTGACGGCTGGGAGCCGTCGGTGTCGCTGGCCGGGTCCCACGAAGGCTGCCGAGCAGTGCTGAGTTGCTGGCGGAGAGGTGTCTCGCTTTTCACATCTATGAATTTAGAAAGAGCATTTCCATGGCCAGGAGTGCTTGTTGGCCGGCTGATACCGTGTCTCCAGTCTGGGCTGTGAGGAACAGGCTCCCTCCAGCCTTGCCGAAGGGTGCCCAGGCATTGATCAGAATATTAATGTCCAGGCTTTGATAGGCAGTGGGGTTTTCCTGTGGGGCATTGCTTGTCCAGGTCTGAACTGCTGTGAGAGCTGATGTCAGGGTTCGAATGTGACCGGGCGCTGACGCAGCATCCCTTTTCACAGCCCCTTTTGCTTACTCTGTGCCAGGTGCTTTGACCTCCCACGTAACGAAAGCGATCGGATTTGAAGCATCTCCCGTAGAAAAGCTCTGAACTGTGTTCCTGCTGCGATGCTTTGTGCAATGATTTTCAAGGTTATGCAATTCATGTGCAACCCACTGGACTGTACCAAACACATTTCTTTGTATGGTGAGTGTCACTTTAATACAGTGCACCAGTAGCTGTAAAGGATGGCTGCAATTCTATTTATTTTGTCGTCTTGCTTTTTCTTAGATTTACCCCCCTTTCCTCTAATAAATAGACACCAAGTACTTTTTTTTCTGATGTGACTTAATCGGTTACTGGTCCTGGATCGCGTGTGTGTTCTGTGAATTGCGAACGCCAAATGCAGCGCAGCTTGGTCCTGCTCTGCCTGTTGCATGAAATGCTTTTATGTACATCTATGTTGAATAATGGCTAAACAGAAGCAAAACACCACTAGACACTTAGTATACTTCAAAATATTACCTGTCATCTGAAGCCACCTCAGACATGTGGATTTGTTGGGTCATTTTTCTTCCTAAACAGACATTTTGGGTTGGGAGACCCATTATAAAATGTGTGGCCCTATCCCCTTTTATTCCCATAAAGATGGAATAGCAATTAAAAAGCCACCTATAACCGCCTATGGATAGGTGGCATTTTAATTGCCATTCCATTTTAGTGCCTTTTGGGACTGGGGGGGGGGGCTGTCTTTTGAGAAGCTGTAGAGTTGATGCTCTTTTTGTAGAGGCTCTTGCAGGTGGCCACACTGGGGCTACTGAAGGAGCAGCTTGTTGCCCAAATGTTTTGATTCCTTGCTTTGAAATGGGCTGCCAGACAGTCGCCTGTGCTCCAGAGTGATGGCTACCCGCCTGCCCGTGGGGTTTGCTGTAATTCGACATGCAATGGCAGCACACAGGTGTTGGCCCATGGTGAGGATGGGAGCAGTAACACCAAAACAAAACCGAAACCCCTCGCCAAAAAAAGCTGGGGGGGTTATTCAGATTCAGTTCAAATTCTTAGGGAGAGTTTTGGTACCAGTTTAAAAATGAAGCCCTTTGGAGAAGGGAACTTAAACCTCCTAGAAAGCATTTTTTTTCTTGGCTTAGGTGTTCTCCTTACTTCAGAAGGAAGGGAAGAGGAAAGTGTAACTTTTCAGATCTGCTTGGCTAATGCCAGCTAATGGCTCTGCAGCTGCCAGGTCTCTCGTACATCTCTGGGAAAGCCACAGAAATGTCACCCCAGAGGCAGGAGCATGCTGGAGGAGAGGGTCGCTTGTGCAGGACATCCCACTCTACCGTTGGATGAATAAAAATGGCACTCGGTTGGTGAGCCATGTCTTGCTGTGTATGTGAGTCCCCATGCTGACTCTGCAGGGGAGGCGTATCTGAGCTGGGCCAGTCTGGATGCATCTGGGGATAGGGGTGGTTTGGTGGGGATTTTTTATAAGTGGCAATGCAACAGGCAGAGCCAGCAAACCCAGCAGAATGATGGAGCCGAAAATAGCCCAGGAACTTAGAGAAAAAAACGGGTGATGGACTGGTGAAGGGGACAAAATAACCAGTAAGTTGAAACAGCGAGGGTAAGGTCTAGCCTCAGTGGCTGCCATCTATATGGTACTGGCAGCACAGCGATGTGGTGCAGAGGCAGCCGGGAGCCAAGGGTGAAACAGGGTTAGCAATGTTCACACGTGAGAGCAGGGAGCACGCAGAGGTCCAGCGGTCACAGGGGATGTTACCAGAACAACACGCGTCTCTCCTCCTGGGGAGGTAAACGTCAGGGTGGTGTGTTTTGAGAGCCCGAACCCCCCCGAAGAGCACCCCTGTCTCCAGCGCAAGGTGGGAACCGAGCCCTGCATGCCGGGGCTGGAGCACGGCGGAGCCTCAGCCGGTACCGGTACCGACTTCCCGTCCGTCTGCGCTCTAAATACATGGTCCAGCAGTGTGCTCCTTGGATGCCGACAGCTCTTCGGTTTGCTCCGTGGTCCCTGACGTGGGCCGGTCTGGAGCCCTCCCTCGCCACTGCCCTGGCAGCAGAGGCAGGCTCGCACCTTGCCAAAACGCCCCCGTGTCCGGGGAAGGCAGGGCGCCTTAGTTCCACCCCGGGCCCTGCCGGCATCTCCTTGGCTCCCTGCACTTGTCCTTGCTGTGAAAGGCAGGCGGTGGTCCCCCGCCGGGGTGCAGGCGCTCCATTTCTGATGGGCAGCCCTCTTGATTTGTCATCGTGGCTGTAGAGCCGATTCCTGACGCCTAGTGAGGAAACTCACCGCGCCGTTTCATGCAAAAGCCCCGGCTGGCGGCTGGGGGCGGGGGGAAGGAAAGCCTGGGACAGGACACGGGTTCTTGCTGTTGAATGGGGTGCAGCAAATGTCTGGTTGTCTTTTAAAAAAAAACCAAACAAAAACCAAAAACCCAAGGGAGAAATTGTGCAGCATCTGTATCCCTCTTTTCTGTGTCTGCGGAGTGGACAAGGCCCACCTGCCACAGCCCATGCCCCAGAGAATGTTGGAAGTGGGATTTCTTTAAAAATAACAATCCCAGGAGGACAATGCAATCATGAATTTTTGTCTGAACACTGCAAATTTGCTTAATAGAAACAAGTGCTGGAGTGCAGACCTGCTGTTGAATAATCACTTCCACTCTACGAAGCAGAGCACGGAAACCTTTTGATGGTGTTATAGTCATCACTTGGCATAAATATTCATTCAAGGAATCAGAGCAGAGTAAATGGCGTTTTAGACTCTAATCATTTAGTATTAGCAGATAGCCTTTTTACTGCTAAAGATAACCACTGCTTAATCAGTTTAGTGACCACTGGCATATAGTATGACGTTTAAGCTTGTGCCTCGGTCCCTGTGTTGAGGACACGGCTGCTGGTGACCCCTCTGCCCAAGTCCCAGTTGTTCCCAAAGTCAGCCCAGCCGCTGCCAGTTGCCAACCACATGCAGCTGACTTTAACTTCTGAATTATCTGCCATTTGTCTCCTTATCTTAGATCAAAGCGGTATTTTAAGTTCATACTACAAATGTTAAAATCTAGGATCTTTTCTCTCTTTTTTTTGTAGCTGGGACTAATGGCCGATCACAGCACAGTCTGATTTTGAGATTAAAAACAAGCCAGCATTTAAAGGCAATCAAAACCTCAAGCTTCTTCTCCATTCATCTTTAATGCTGGTGTAATTGCTGCACAGATTCTGGCTCTTCCTACAGTCTTAATTTTTTTTTTTTTTTGGTGCGTGCCTCTGTCTTTCAGAGGGATGTTTTACTTCCCTGAGCAGCATTAGCGCTATTGAGCACTCCGCTATCGACAATCCAGCTCACCCGATTTCATATCTTGCCAAACAAGTTAATCTAATATTAACAGCGGTTTGTTACTTCATTGTTAGCTTAATTTACTTTACAAGAAACGCTATATTTGCATTTCACCCCTCTGTCATTGGCTTGCAAACCGTGCTTCCCAATGCCAAGAAGGGATGGCTCGCGCCGTTTTGCGTGAGTCCCTCGGTGTGGCGCTGCCACGCGGAGGAGGGGGCCATCACCCCAACCAGGCTCTTTCGCTAATTGGCCGGGGGGGACGTGGGGAGTTGGAAGGAGGATTTTGAAAGCCATAGAGCGGGTCCTGGAAATGCAATATTCACAATAGCATAAATACTGCTGCTGCTCTTCCAGTAATATAGCTGAGTTGTAGACAGTAGTTTTCCCTGGTGGCAAACATATACAGTAAATGTCTTTAGTATGGAAATCAGCAGACATATGGGCAGAGCGGCAGACATTTGCAACACCAACAGGTTCCTCAGGCTTTTAGGGGATGCTCCCGTGCCAGAACTCGCGAGGTCTCTCCGCCACTGTGGCGGGGCCCCACACCTCACTTCCAAATTGCTGGGGGAGGGGGGGGAACTGTGAGCAAAGCCCTCCAAGCCGCTGCTCAAAAGCTGCTTCCCTGAACGACCCAGCTACCGGCCGGCCGGGAAGGCTTTTCTCCAGCAACCACACGAAGCTGCGCCGGCTGCGGGGCTGGGAGGGGTGGTGGGACAGGGCTGGGGATGCCCTGCGGTGGCAGTAGGTGACTCGGTGCGCGGGGCTGGTCGCCCCTAGGTTAGGGGATGTGGCATTGCTGGAGATGGCAATGGCTTTTGCAGGTGTTAGTTTGTAGCTTAATTCTTGATTGGCTCGCTATGTGCCGCGCTGCTAAACCCTGTCCCTGTATATGGGATGCTGGCTTCCGACCTGCTCTGCCGATCGCTGCCTTCCATTGTACTGGCCAGCCAGCAGCAAAGTTGCCTGCACTGAGTTTTTAACATTATTTCCAAAAGGGAAGGGACAGCAGTGGGGTGATGCCACTGATGTTCCCATTGTCACAGTCTTGCACAAAAA